TAGAAGAGAAGAATGAAGTTCAGGGCAAAGGCGATGAACAAAGCCAGGAAACGAAGGTTGTAGAAGTTACGGGACAAACAGTTCTGTAGATTGAAGTGGAGATTAACAGCATATCAAAACCCGCAAAACGTAACTAAACCTGGAACTAAAACTCAACGATTCAACTCAAATTTAGAAGAAATTATTTTTTTTCCTACCATGAATTTATTTCTTTGAACATCCAACTCATTCCAGAGCTCAAATCCTGCTCCCTTGACGGATTTCTTTTCCTTTTTGGCTTTAGTGGCTTTCTCAGGTTTTGTTTCTTCTGGTGTGGCCTCAGGCTTGACCTCTGCTTCCTTCTCAGCCTTCTCTCCATTCTCAGTGCTGTTACACATGGAAGATGGTCATTGAAATGGTAAATACGTCTAGAAAAACAACAAAGAATCTAACAGAAACACTAAAATGTCCTGTTTTCCCTTCATTTGGGAGTCACTCACTCTGCTTTCTCAGGCTCAGGAGGAGGTTCTTCAATAGCAGGAGGTTGTTCAGGTCCTGCTTCTTCTGGTTGCTGCAGCATAAAAAAACAAGGACCAACATGACACATACAAATAAAAGTCTTTGTGTAGAAGATTGGTGAAGGAACACAGGGAATCCAGCTAAATAAACACCATACCATTTTCTTCTTCAGTAATGGAGTGCCCTCTGGAGTTGGCGGTTCCACAGGGGTCGTGTCACCCATATCTCCAAGTCCACCTGGTGTATCGATACCAGGAATCTTCCCACCGTCTTTTTCTTGGATGTCCTCATCCTCCTCCTCTCCCCCTCCTATTTCCATTGAGTCTGTTATCCCTCCTGTATCTTGCTCTTCTCTGCCCCTTGGTTCTCCCGGTAGGTCTCCATGCACCTCATCCTGCGTGGGATCCGGCATGCTGGCCAGCAACTCCGTCACGGTGATGTTCTTGGCCCCTTCAACTAAACCACCTCCAAAAAGTGTATGCCAGATGAGCAGGAAGAAACCTTTACACACACTGTAAATGAAATAGAGGATGCCCATGAGGATTGTCCATAGGAAGGTAGCAAGCTTGACCACAATGTCCTTGATGGTCATCTTCCTGAGCCTACGGTACTGTCTGCGAATA